TATATACGTGATGTTATATATGTGTTTTATATGTATATACTATAATATACATATATAAAATTATATATATATATCTTTTGTTGTCCTCTTCTCTCTCTCTGCCTACGGTTTACCTGAAGGGGTTCGGACCCCACCAAAATTTATTTTGGTGCCTAAATATAATGTTTTTTTTCTGAAGTTTTTTTTGCGAGTTCTCTATGATGTGAGGTACATGCCTACATGCCTATAAATTTTGAAGTCAAAACCTGCTCGCCCACTGGCTATTTTTCTTTTTTCAAACTTTTTACGTGTTGTTTTCCCTTGTTTTGGAACCTAAACAATTTTATTATTTTTTGAAACTTTTTTCACGAGTTTTGTATTATGTGAAATATAGATCTGTGAATTTTCAGGGCATTTGGCTATGCGAAAAAAAAAAAAAGAAAAATCGTCAGAGGTGTCGGTGTCGAAAACGGGCTTGCGCACTCACTAATTTTAATTCTCTAATTTAGTAATTTACTAATTTCTCTTTTTATTTTTTCTTATTTTTGTTATTAGTATTTATTTTCCATATTCTATTTTTATCTCAAATTAGGCAATGAATTTGGATGTAATGCTCAGGCAAATGTTGTTTATTTTATTTTTCTGCGTAACTTATGTTTTTTTTTTCTTTTTTTTGGTTTTTTTATTTGTTTGGTCCACTTTCGGCCCGAACGACCAAACACATCCCCAGGGTGTTCCGTACGTTTGGGCGTTCGGCCTGTCCCAAACGCCCGCCACCTTGTATATATACATATATTGTCAAACAGAGCTGCCCAGTAAACCGTAGGCAGAGAGGGAGAATACGAAACATACGAGGGGTTGTGACAAACTGTTTCGTTTGAGTTATATATATGATATATATATATATACAGGGTTGCCGGCGTTTGGGACGGGCCAAATGCCCGAACCCGAATGCCCGACCGTTCGGCACCCCCTCTCGACGAGTTCGGCCGCTCGGCCGAACGCGGACCCAAAAAAAAAGAAAAGAAAAAAAAAACGAATTCCAAAAAATCTGAAAAAAATATATCTTATGCAGAAGAATAAACTAAACAACATTTGCCTCAACGTTACATCCAAATTCTTTACCAAATTTGAAATAAAGATCAAATACTAAAAATAAATAATAATAATGAAAATTAGAAAAAATAAAACGAGAATGAAATTATTGGGTGGGCGAGCACGTTTTTGACACCGCCATCTGTGGTGATTTTTCATTTTTGTTTGGCTGTGAGAAATGCCATGAAAATTTATATTTGTGTATCTTACATAATAGAGAATCTACAAATAAAGTTTGAAAAAATATATATATTTTGTATGCCCCGAAATCAAGGAAACAAAAAGTGAAAAGGGAGAAAAAACAAGTTAGTGAGTGGGCAAGCAAGTTTTGACACCACCATCTTTGCCGATTTTCCAATTTCTTTTGACTGCACAGAATGGCTTCGATACCTTACATCACAAAAAACTCACAAAAAAAAAATCAGAAAAAAAAATAATAATATTGAGGTGCCAAAATATGTTTTTGCGGGGTCCGAACTCCTTCAGGTTTGGGGCCCGGACGGGGACCTGAACGCCTGAACGTTCGGGGGTCAGCTTGGGGGCCTCCGTACGATCGGCCTGGCAACCCTGTATATATGTATATATATTCTCCCTCTCTGCCTACGGTTTACCGGGCAGCTCTCTTTGACTCTTTTTACATACACTCAAACAGAGCTGCCCGGTAAACCATAGGCAGAGAGGGAGAAGAGGACAACAATCGTCACACAGACATATATACATATATTATATATACGTTGCCACTTGTACGCACCCTCGTACGAGTACGGATTCGTACTCTTGTACTAGTACGCTAGGGGCCCCGTACGAGTTTTTTTTTTTTTTAATCCCATATTGTTTTTATTTTTTTTCTTCAAATTCTGTTAAGAATCTGAAGATGATGCTCAGCCAAATGTTGCTTGTTTTGTGTTTTTGCATCACATAGTTTGTACGGGGGCGTACAAGACGTACAAGTTCCCGTACAGGTTCCTGTACAGATCCCGTACAGAAATAACCTGTACATTTCGTACGGGAAGCCCCCGTATGTGTACTCTATGCAACGTTGAGTACAGAGTATTTACGGGAAGCCCCCGTACGGATAATATATATTTGTGACGATATATATATTGTCAAACATAACTGCCCTGTATATATGAGTTTTTTCTTTTTCTTTTTTTTCCCCCCAAAAAATGTGTAGGAATAAATATTTGAGTTCAGAGTAAACTATTGGCTATGACTGCATTACTCTCCTTTTTTGCTGCCTTGTTCCACACCTCTAGCAATTTGACTGTGTCTAGTTGGATGAATTTGGTCGCTCTCCGTGTGCCCCGTTCGTACAGCCAAGGAAAAGAATGCACCTAACAATTTGAATTCTGCCCTAGTCGCTTTTTCTTGTTCGATGGGCCCTGTTCCACCCCTCTAGCAGAGCCCTCCAAAAGGTTAGGGCGGCCTAGAAGAAAGGAATACCATGGGCCTGGCTCCACTGCTCAACATTCTACATGCATTTGGATGCCTTCCTGGACACGATGCATTTGCTAGAGTCCAACATTGTTAAGTGTATCGGGACAATTATTTGCTCCAGACACATTCGGAGTGTTGTATAGTGGAGCGATACCCCATATCATATTCAGCTTAACCAATCAATTATTCTGGTTCCGTGTTGTTCCCAGAACCGACCTCTCTTCTTCCCCCGAATACAACGTACGGTCACTATAACTGTATTTGAGGCATCTTTCAGTCTAAATACGGCTATAATGACCATATGTTGTATTTGGGGAAGGAAGGTAGAAGTGGCTGCCTGTAGAGCATACTTCCACTAGCACATTTCTGGATGTACCTGGCTGCAATTACATCTCCTGGCTGATGTATCTAACTGTATTTATGCCAAAAGCTGAGTGGAAAAAAATCCTGGTGTGAGCAAGCCCTGAGGATGAGACTGAACTTCAGTTGTCATTCTGCTCTGACGGACCTGACAAATCCAAAATATCCAACCATTTCCGTGACTTTCGTGATGACCTCACCGACTCCTTAGGGCGAGTTCCCACTGGCAACGAGGATTGGATTAAATTCCTGAATCTGGACGTGGTCGAGGCAGAGATGCAGAAAAGCAGATCTATGGCGCATTTCTGCACCTCTTGCGAAACCCGTCCAGATGCAGGCCTTAAATCGGATCCTCTCTGGTAGTGGGACCTCGCCATTCCGCTTTTGGGAGAAATTGGCCGACATTCCTTTTCAGGGGTCCGGGGTGGCCAAGACGATAGCTCGATTACTGCTATTGCCTTTTTTTTTTTTTTTTTTCGTCACAGCAAACATGGGACAACAGTTGACCGAGACGAAGCAGGGCACAAAAAAGGGGAAAAAAAAAAGAAGATTCCAAGATAGCACCTGCGGGCCAGCTGAGTTGGTTGAGCACATAAGTGGCACTCAGGAGGTCGCGGGTTTGATACCCAAGGCTGCCGACCTTTCGATTTCCGGGACCTTCCGGGAGTAATGCTTCGGGTCATCAGTGGCGATTGTTGGCTTGGGTCTCCTGGCTGGTTGAGGAAGTAGTTCTTTCCAGCCAGGACACCCAAGCCGACAATCTCCACAGGTTACCCGAAGCATACTCTGAGGAGGTCGCGAGTTCGATACCCAACGCCGCCATCCTAATTACTGGTGGTTTAAAACTTTAAATACACAGTGTTAGAAGCTTGGGTATGGCCGAAAAAAAAAAAAAAAAAAGCTCGGTTATGGCTCCTGCACACACAGCAGAGTTAGGAAGGTAGGCATAGACGCATAAACTTTATGAAGTCTTAGGCTTACCCAGTGTATTTAAACCAGCAGTAAATTGCCCGGCTATCGGCCGCGGGGAAAAAAAAAAAAGAGCAGAAACCTAGGCTACTAGAGTGGCCTGCGTCCACTTGCCCGGCCGGGCCAAAAAGAAATAAGAAAATAAGTTCAAATAACAAAATAAAAATTCTCTTTTAATCGAAATTTTTATTTTAAATTTGGTAAGGGATTTCGATGTGACCCTTTCATTTCTGCATAACATAGTTGTTTTTCGGATTTCTTGGATTTTTTTTTTTTTTTTTTTTTAATTTTCTGGCAGGGACCTTCCCTGGTCCTTGCACTGACCCGGGCGGCCCGGCTGGTACCCTAGGTAGAAACGTCTCTAGTCGGATGAATTTGGGCGCTCCTGTAGTGGCCCGTACGTTTCCTAAAATCATGGCTTGTTAACAGGCATGACTTTAGGAAGTACTGGTGGTTTAACACAGAGTATCCCCAGCCCTGGATCCTGTAGAAGTTGTGTGAGGAATACATTGTGGCAGGGTAGATAGGGCTTGCAGGCGAGGTATATATACAGGTAGCTGGAGCAAGGTAAGAGAAGAAAATAGGGTAGTACAAAAGTACAAGTGTCCCACGTAGGAGGAGAAGACAGCTATATCTTAACATTCAAAAAAGGGAAAAAAAAAAAAAAAAGAGATCCAAGATTTCCCTTACTATCGTAAGCACCTCACCAACTCCCTACAGTCTAGGGAAAAATTGGCTGACTTTTTTTTTTTTTTTTTTTTTTTTTTTCCTGACATTCTTTTCCAAAGCTCTAGGGTGGCCTAGAATATAGGTTGATTAAATTAAATATGATTATTATGGCAATTGCCTTTTTTTTAGTTTTTTTTCTTCTTACTTCATGACGGCAAACATGGAACGACACTTGACGAAGAAGATGTAGGGCAACAACCTTCTAAGTTGAAGGTCATGGGTTCAAGCTTCAAATCCTGTAGGGTGCTAAATTCTTGCCATCTTCATTGCAAGAGGTAAGAGCACCCGGAAAAAAAAAAAAAAAAAAAAAAAAAAAAAAAAAAAAAAAAAAAAAAAAAAAAAAAAAAAAAAAAAAAAAAAAAAAAAACACTCTACGGAGTTGGACATGCTACCATTCTGCTCTCTTACGTACTCTACATAGAGTCACTTGTAACACTGTAAGGAATATCCGTCACCCATTTCCTTCCGACACATGACGAATAAGAAATCACCCGAACGTATTTTCCAAGCGACCTGAAGCAGCTCCGCAGGCTCTACGGAAAAAAAATGGGGCTCGCTCCACTGCACAACATTGCAAATGTATGTGGAGCTCAATATGGTCCCCACAAATTCAACATGTCAACTCAGTCCTAATGTATGTGTGTACCGACAGGGAGTCCAAGGTAGATTCACAATGTTGTAGAGTGGAGCGAGGCTCGATGGCTGATGTTTTTTTACGTGGCGCTACCGTCTTCACCCTAATATAATGCACAATCATTATAGCTGTATTTGAGGCATTTTTCAGTCCCGATGTAGCGGTAATGACCAGGCATTCTAATTCGGGTGAAGACGGCAGGGTGGCAAACAAATCTTGGCAAATTACTTGAAATTAGAACAATTATAATTGCCTTTTCCAAGTTTTCTCCCCTATGGTGCTCTCCTAGAATCGACGTTAAATTGGCTGCCCTTCGAAGCAGATCAGATCTCGGTCGTCCATGTCCTTCTGACATACCTGAGATTCTGAGAAGTCCAAATTCACCCTTGCTTTTGTGCCCATCTCATTCGGCTGCGCCGACCCTTCAAGGAAGTGGCACCCCATTCCGGCAGCGCTCTAGGGGGGGCTAGAGAACCGGTGACTTAGACATGCCAACCAGCACCTAGCACAATCGACCGTCTTCCCCTGAATAGAATGCACGATGATTATGTACGTATTTCGGACAACTTCCTGTCCAGAGGAAGTGATAATGACAGTACATTGTATGCGGGTGAAGATGGCAGCGGTGCGGAAAAATGCGCTGCATCCCCAACTCCCCCCATCATCTCACAAGAGTCGCAACCCCCCTCCCCCACCCATGCAGATGACCCATGTCGACCTTGGGGCATTTTGCCCTGAATACCACTGTGCAGTACTAATGCTCAACTGGATGATCCCACCCACCTGGTTCCTCTCAGCCCCTCAAGCAGGTGACCGGTACTGGTTCATTTGGGAGAGGGGCGGGGGGGGAAAAGGGGGGGGAGGGTGAGATAATGGGGGGGTTGGCGAGAGAATCCCACCCCCCTGGTTCATCTCAAACCCTCCAGCAGGTGACCAGTACACCCCAACCGATCCGATTACTGTACAAGCGTATGAGGCCTATGTGTATCTCTCCCTATAACAACAGCTGTCACGGAAATCGCAAGCAAGGCAACAAACCAATCGATCTTGGTCTTTAAGTGCACGGGACTTGAACCCGCGACTTCTGGCTAGAATGGCCAATTGCCTTCCACCTGCTGCTGCTGACTATGGCGGAACGTGCCTGGCTGCGCGCCCTAAACCAGGCGACTCTGGCGGATACTTGGTCTTTAACTGTTTAACTGCACGGGACGTGAACCCGGGACTTCCGCCGTGACAGATTGCGACTATCTTGACTATGCGATTTGCCATAGGGTCTGAAGGTGCTGAGGTCGCAATTACCACGATTGCAAATTGCACGTTGCCGTAGTGTTAAGGGATGCAACTGCGCGAATCTGAACAGAACAATTCATCACGCATACTCCGCAGGAGGGTGAAGTAGAGAAGGCCTGTCTTTGCGGCTCTCCAGCTCCACAAGATTGAGGTCTGGTTCTCTTGCTGCGATCTTCTTTCCCAAAATGGAGTGACGCCAGCCGTAGAGGAAGTAGAAGATCAGCCCGATGCCCATCCAAATAAGGAGTCGATAGAGCGTCGACAAAGTCGAAAAGCTGGCCAAGCCTGCACAACAAAGGATGCTCAAAACAGGGATGCCCCACGACGGACCTGGAACAACAAACTTCCGCGGAGCATGAGGCTGCGTGTACCGAAGGATGATAACGCCCGCAGAAACGAGGGCAAAAGCCAAAAGGGTTCCAATTGACGTCAGATCTGCCAGCACATCCAGGGGCACTACGGAGGCAAGAAGCGCGCCAAAGATGCCGATGACGACAGTAGACGCTACAGGAGTCATCGTCCTGCGGTTAACACGACCTCCCCAGGCCGGGAAGAGGCCGTCTTTGGACATGGAGTAGAAGATTCTCGTCTGGCCGAGAAATACGACCATCATGACGGAAAACAGACCGCAGAGGGCCCCAACGTCCACAACGATCGTCAACCACTTCTGCCCTGTGAACTCCACAACAGCTGCCATGGGGTTCGATACATTGAGTTGAGTGTACTTCACGACGCCTACCATAACCGTGGATACGGCGATGTAAAGGACGGTGCAGACAACGAGAGAGAGTAAGATACCGATGGGGAGATCCCGCTGAGGATTTTTGCTCTCGTGGGCGACAGTCGACACGGCATCGAAGCCAATGTATGCAAAGAACACGACAACGGCTCCTCGTAAGACGCCGCTCCATCCGTACTTCCCCCAACGCTGCTGTTCGGGAACGAACGGAGAGAAGTTGTCGGTCTTGACGTACTTTGCGCAAAATCCGATGACGAGGAGCACAATGACGATCTTCGTGATCACAATCAGCGCGTTGACTGTCGAGGACTCCCGAATACCCCACGCGAGGATCAACATCACAACCAGCAGAACTGCACACGCAACGGCGTTGAAATACCCGTCCGTTTTGGTCACAGAGGTATCTGATTGCGAGAACTCGAAAGGGGTTACCGTCCACGAATCCGCCAAATCCACATCGAACACTTGCTTGAAAAAGCTCTTAAAATAAGCGGCCCAGCTGACAGCGACGGCGGCAGCAGAGACCAGGTACTCCAGCATGAGGTCCCAACCGATGAACCACGCCATAAACTCTCCCAGAGTTGCGTACGTATACGTGTACGCACTGCCGGAGACGGGAATCATGGATGCCAGCTCGGCATAGCACAATGCCGCTAATGCGGATGCGACTCCAGCAAACAAGAAAGATAGGATAATCGCGGGTCCGGCACGCTCTGCCGCCGCGGTTCCCGTCAAAACAAATATTCCCGCGCCAATGATCCCACCAATTCCGAGCATCGTCAGGTCTAACCACCCAAGAGATCTCTTGAGCTCTGTTTGCATTGCTTCATCGCGGATGTCCTCTAGAGACTTTTTCGCGACCAATCTGCCGACAAAGCGGCTCATGCAGCTTCGTTGTCTCCAGGGCTGACCTACTTCTGAGCCCTGTGCCGCCCATGTACTTTGCCATTGAGCAGGCACACCCTTTGCAGTCTGAAGCAAAGCCAGGCCAGGTCCGTTCAATGCAACAGCCGGACAAAGCACCACCATAGATATAGCCACACAATCAAACAATGAGCCATTCTTGTCACACAGACACTGAAAAAAGAAAAATAACAAAAAAGGCGAGGGAGATTGCTTCAGTGAGCCAAGCCAGGTCCATTCAATGGGACAGCCGGACAAAGCACCACCATAGATAGCCAAAGCCATTCTTGTCAGACAGACTCAACAAAAAAAAAACAAAAAAAAAAGGCGAGGGACATTTCTTCAGACAGCCAAGCCAAGTCCGTTCAATGCGACAGCCGGACAAAGTATCACCATAGATATAGCCACACAATCAAACAGCGAGCCATTCTTGTCCGACCGACACTGAGCCTCCTCGATTTTTTTTATTTTTTAATTTTTTTTTTTTTTTTTTTTTTTTTTTTTTTTTTTT